TGTGTTTGTGTTTGACGGTGAAAGGCGGAACACCTCGGAGACGCAAGTGTTTGCTGGAAGCAATGGTAGAATCCGCTCCACGTCCGTGCAGACCAGCCGAGGTGAAAAGCTGCGACCAGTATCGAAGCTAGCCGTTTATGAGATCGAGGTAGAAAAGAGTTATCCCCATACTGTTCACAAATGAACCAGCGACGGGGTTTACGAGCGGGAGAATGTTGCCGTCGTAAAAGCGAGCACCCAGTTGCGAAAGGGTTGCCGTTGGTGAAAATGAGCACCCAGTTGTGAAAAGATGACTACCGTGAATGCGCCCGTCCACTGACAGTTCTAGACGGCAGATAAAGATGAGCCAAATAAAAGGCACGCATACATGCGCATACAGTTGACTTGAATCAGTTAAAAGAAATGGTGTTTTTTTGCATTATGTGATAGATTTTGTCCATTCAAGTGAAGGAAGTGGTCCTCCTTTAATTACCCTAATAAAAAATTATCATAAACGGACGATAAACCAAATGGTTGAACTATTCCACAAATGGTTTGGATGATACCCCGAACACGTCATTAAGCAAATTAACCATATGATAATATATGATGATTATTAGGATAAATATGACAAATGTTACATATTTCCATTTATTAGATGTGTGCAGTGATGGTTCGCTCTTTTGGGACTTTTTCATTACTTTTTAATATAGAATGCATTACGTTAAATCAAATTGGATTTTCAGTTAATCCATCTTAAAATAGATTGTTCAGTGCTATTAATCTCTCTATCAAAATGCAAAATTTCCGCACAGCAGAGCCACACTCTGTGTTTTCACTGAAGGTGCACTCGAGAGCGCTCTCAAGTGTATCTCCAGTGAAAACACATAGTGTGGCTCTACGGTGCGGAAATTTTGCACTTTGATAGAACGATTAATAGTACTAAACTATCTATTTAACGATGGTTTAACTAAAAATTCAATTGGATTTGACGTAAGTATTCTATATTAAAAAGTAACGAAAAAGTGCTACTTACCGACCTAGAAACCAAAGATAGGAGTGTTGAAAGTGAGAATAGGATCATTAGTACTAAGGAACACTGAATTTTGAGTATCACCAAAAGTATTCTTCGTAAAATTATTTTCTATCCTCGATCCGAAAGCTTAAAGTATCATAACAAAGTTTACCAAACCTAACCAAATAAGTTTATAAAAACCATTAAATTTAGCTACTTACTGTTATATATACATGGTTGATGGTATAAAGACTGATGCATAAGGAATTGATTTATTCAGATTTCCATCCTACACCTAGAATATTAAAATATAACCTTATATCAGTTGATAATTTGATCTAGATATAATTAATTTTACGTTTCAGAAGCATTACATCCTGAGCATGAACGTCTGAAATGGTTATTTTTTTTATTTTCCTATATTAATGTACATGTTTTTACTAATCATAAAGGGTGGGATCTTCTTTCCATTTATTGGGACGTCCCACTTTTTAATCCAATTAATCCGTTTTCGGTCATTCATACAGCGACATGATGACAACTGAGGGTTAAAATATTTCTCAGAGGTCACGACCATCACACATTGTTTAATTTCAGCAAACACGGCCAAACAAGCAGGGCACCAAAACTTAATTGTTATCGGCAACACCGTGTATGTGTATCCATTTTTTCCTTGCTTCAAGATCATCCTCGGTCCAGGCAACCCAAGGATTTATCACTATCAACAAGGCATCAAAAGTAACAAGGACTGAGATGTGTTTCTTTGATTACTGAAAAAACCTGTTCCCCTACTTTGAAGTAGGCAATACTAGGAATCGGTGGTAGATCTTACATCCCGTAACGTACCATGAAAAGGTGATCTACCCACGTTACGGGGCAAGTTCCTTAACCCCTTACTACCACAAATTGTTGTAACACTAATAGGAGGTCGGATCGTAGTGTCTTCTGCATCTCCCTCAATTAACTGTTATATTTTTGCCTCTGGCCGCAGTATTCACAGATTAAACTAATCATGTATGGGAAAAGTAATTTTTTATTTTTTAGAAGCATAATATGACGAAGCAACATTGTAGTCTCAATTTTTAGATGAAACATAACTCCTTTATTGTATTGTTCATTGCTCATAAAACATTCAAATTTCATTGTGCACCAAATAACAAACAATGCTGGGATTTAGAGGGACCATCAAATCACCCGATTGAAGCGATTTGGAGTGGGAATGCATTTCGTGGATAAAGGGCGGGCTCTTCTCCCCACTCATTGGGGCATCTTCCTGGTTGAGAGCTCGTCTTTTTAACCACATGTGCGATCATGTTGTTGGAAGGAGATTCTTTACTGTTAGATACGCTTAGGCGACTTTTCGTTTTTGACGAAAATTTAATATATTTTGGTGTGTATTTGTTTCTGAAAAGGCATTTCAGTTTCCTAAAACTTTATATATTATCGATTATTTATTACAGAATATCGAATATTTTTTATTTATTTATTGCAGAATATCGAATACGCCTTGAAAAATTACCCCAGTAACCGTCAAACCCGTTAACCCTTTATCTGTACCTTGGGGTCAATTTGACCCCAGGCCACTTTGAAAGGATGTAACTTTTAACTTGTCGATGGATTTTACTAATTCTTTCATGGCTTAGTGCTTCTACCAGAGCTCTGTAAAATAAGATGAAAGCTGCTCCAAAAACCTTTAAAACTTATTTCTTGGAAACATGTTATTGAAATACTTACATTGCCTGTACCCTGAGGTCAATTTGGCCCCATAATCAAATTGCCGTATCTTAAAGAAATTTCATTGGATTTCTGAAATTTCAAATAATTTCTAAAGTAAAGTAAGTGAAATTTCTGTTTAAATTATCAGACGTTTTTTGGATGGGTGGATCTCTCGGAGGAAGGGACCATTGTAAAAATATACCCATGAAGTGGCATATTTTGCTGTTAGAGATGTTTATACCATGAGATCCCAACTTTATAGGATCCCAAGCAACCAAAAGTTCCGCATTCAACGATAAAATTCAATTTTAAGTTCCACATACTTCAAATAAAAATCCAACAGAACCTTCATTTTCCATAAAGTTCCGACAGAACTTTTTTCAAAAGTAGCCAAAAGTTCCGCATTCCACGATAAAACCCACTTTCAAGTTCCATGGAGTGCATATAAAGTTCCAACAGAACTTTCTGGCTACTTTAGAAGCTATAGAAAGCACACGAGGAACTTCAGGCTCCAAAAAGTTCCGATGCGTACTCTTAGCAACTTGAAGTTCAAAAAAAGTTGCAAAAAAGTAAGAGGTTATATCCAAGAGTCGACCGTAGATACTCGTGCTCGGTATCAATATTTGGCGACTATGTTAGGGAAACCACTATTTGCAGGCAATCGGTAATAATTTTGATCACCATTGCAACCGTTGAACATTTTTGTGTAATTTTCTATAGTGACCTATTAAAAATTGATAAAAGATTCATTTTAACAGCTTTGTGGAAAAATTACCAATCGCTTGGCTTGTTTAGAATTAAAATTCATCTGCTATTGACAGAGTTATAAGTGGTCAAAACCTGACCACTTTTCGTTACGCGGTCGATTTTGTGTTTTTTTTTAATTGCACCCCCAATATGTTGCCAAAAGGCGTATCCTACGTCAAAAGCATCCATAACCACTTCTTAGGAACTTCAAGTTACGCTAAAAACATGACCGCAACAAAATTAGGAACATGTTCCCAGTGGAACTTCTTAGCTACTTGAATGTTTCTTAAAAGGTCCGTCAACGCCCGCATGAAACAATGCGCACAAGTCTTTATTGGTAGTAAAATTTCATGTACGTAAAAACTCCAACAGTAGGCGGGACAACAGCTCACTGTAATATATCTCAGATGACGTAGCGGTTTGTGCTGGGGCTCTCACGCAGAAGGACTGCGTTTAATTCTTCAAACTGCTCTAATACTCCTACTAATGCTGATCAATAAATATACGCTCATACCTGGCTTTCAAAATAACATTCATAAACACCTGACTTTAGAATTAACTTTCATAAAAGTGCGAACTAAATATAAAATTGGTGTAGAGGACAAAAACCATTTTTTACTTATTTCCTAAAAGTGCCGCTAAAGTTCCGCAAGAAGCTGCTTAGGATTCTATTCGATTATGGAAATAGTTCTTGTAACGACTTGAAAATGAGGCTGCTTAGAATTATATAGACCACCTTCAACCAAGCTGCTTAAGCCTCAAATAGCCTTTTATTAGAACTTTTGGTTACTTGGGATGTTGCTTCCTTCTGCAAAGATATTCAAGGCTACAAGGTCTTCAAACCTATGTATAGTGATCATTTTCATTTTAGCGCCATCTAGTAAGTATATTCTGTCATACACTATCCATAGTTTTGAAGACCTCGTATTCCTGAATATCTCTGCAGAAGGAAGCAACATCCTGGGGTGATGCACATATTATGTCACGCTCTAAGGGGGGAGAGGGGTGACCCCAAGGCACCGACAACGCATGTTTTTTAGCACAGACGAAGGGTTACAGGACTCAAATCGCCCTTTTTTGCAAAATAGGGTTACAACTTTATATCAGCATTATATTAAAAAAAAAGGGCGATTAGCGGACTTGTTCGCTACTTGAGAAACTTTTCAAGGCGTATTCGATATTTTACAATAAATCATAGCACACAAAATGGCAAAGTCGATTCGTCAAATGGCGTGGATCTGCTCATCACACGAACTTAGCCGATCAAATGACCACACACGGTTTCCCCAGCAGCATGCGTGGTGCCATTATCCATTATTTGCGGTTTCATATCTCACCAAAATTCTAAGCGTCACTCCAAAGAATGTAAATACTGTCTACTACGACGTCTACTAGGGTACTAAACTCCCGTGGGGTTGTGCATGTCCCATGTTTGAACTTTGAAATATAGCAGCAACTGTTGCATGAGTCATCGCATAAACAGCGCCTTCGTATATAAAACTATACACGGCTCGGACTGGTTCAGTCAGCTTTACGGCGCAACTTGAAGCGGGTGCTGTATTTGTTTCGCTTTCAAGCAGAATCTAGAAGAACACGTGATCGGTTCCGATTTTATCCGACTCCGCAGTTAGTGAGTGTTGAAAACATTTTGAAGACTTGCTGCGTGGGAAATTTGCTAATCGTGCCGATAAAGTGAGTAGATGATGAGTGTAATTAGAAAGGACGTAGACATTCCCTTACATAGGACAAAGTGCATTGCAGATGCGAATGGTGACGGTGATGGAAATTGGTGAAATGATAAATGGTGGAAGCTGTCGTCAAGTTTCGCTAATTGCAAAGCTGTGGCGTATCGAAAAAATAAACAGATGTGAACTTAATTGATGCTAATTGGTCGTTGGAGAAGCATTCTACGACGGTGTAGTGCTGACGATAAATGAGAACAGTGCTCAAGGAGTGGGATTCTATTGACTATTAGTTCGTATTTTGAACAAGTAAATATTAAGCTACGCGTCAAACAAAAAAACGTCAATAAGTACGTCACAGACGAACAAATTTCAGAAGTACATAGTTTTGTACTACCTCGGGCTGTGTACGAGGGTATTTTCCAGTCAAATAAAGGTAGTCTGAGGCTGCTTCCGCGAACGGAATAACTAGATTGAATGCAAACAATAATATTGGACGATCGTGAGACTCAAATGTGAAGTTTACCCAGACACATAAAAAAAATCACATAGAATTTACTGCGAAGCTTTCACACAGTTAAAGTAGTGAAGAACTATAACGTTAACGTATTTCACCACCAGCTTTTATCTGAAAACTAACCTTAAATACTTCAAAACACTGCCGCCTTCGAGATTCCGCCAAAAGAACAGCATTCAAACAGGTTTGTTAATCGATGAATTATGTTTATCGACGATCCGGTATCGTTATTTTGGGTAGCCAACGCCTGCTTAGGTCTTCATCAAAATCAAAAATCCAATATAGGGGAAATGGATGTAATGTCGGCCTGAATGCCCCTAATTTGGGCCCATTCATAAATTCAGCAATCGACTAAATTTTCAATAGCGACCAAAAATATCCATTAGTACCGTCGCGATGACGCGTTCATCGAAATAAAATTGATAAATAGCAGATTTTTAGCGATGGGCCCAACTTTAGATCCATAGGCCAACATTAGAGCCGTTTCCCCTACTTATACGAAAAGCAGAAGAGAAAGAATGGCGCATTCAATTTCAATGATCTGGTTTGAAACAGTTTAAAACTTCAAGAAATCGATCGAAACACAGAAAAATTCTGAATTTTAACTATCGCGTAAAATCTCCCTTCGTTTAATTTTGAGCTCTACTTGGCATAAACAGCGAGATCGTTTACAAGCTTGCATACAATATTGCTAATTTATGCGATATTGCGCTTAAATTTACACGAAATACCGCGAAAAATGTATGCCAAATCTAGTGTTAATTTTATGTGCCCTATATCTCGCATAAATTTACATGAATTTTTCGAACGGTGTAGTTCATGAGATTGAGTTTCATGAATTGGCGCGTGTAGTCATTAAGATTGATGCCCTAAAACGGTTGGCGGTAACAGTGGACATAGCGAGGGGAGCGACTTTATCTACCATGCAGGAAAAAATGTGTTTTGCTGTGGTTAGCTGCACGCACGCTGAGTAGATAGAGAGAAGATTGATGCCAATTCTGAAGATTTCCTGCACAATTATGATGCGCGATGCAAGTAGATGCGAGAAATGAATGAAGATTTTTTGAAGATTCATTGGCTAGTGTGAGATTTGTTGAGCATCAATTGAGATTTAGATGTGTCGCCCTCCTCGAGACATAGTTGATTCTAAAAAAATTGGCGCTTTTAGTTCATACGATACCAGCTTAAGCTAGCAGTCCATGAAAGCTATTCATTTCAACTCTAGATTTAAGATATTAATTATGTATAACGCATATGATAATATGGCTCTGAAAAGCTTATTTAATTGAGCCTGTACAAATAAATTAATTTACAAAAGAAAAGAAAAGCTATTCACCAAAGACCGATTCTCCACCGAAACGGTGATGCAAAATAAATTAAAATACGCCTTCCAATTCTGCTTTTGCTTCAACATCGATCCGACGGGTTCGGCTGTTTTTTTTTTTTTTGTTAATTTTCAAGATTAAAAAAAAAACAAACGAAAACATGAAGAAGCAAAACCCGTTTTGATGTTATCGATAATGCCTGAACCGAAAACATCGTCGGCAAAATCTGTAGTTGTCGCTATCGTTCAGTCGGTTCTATCGGATCCGTTTCAAGGTTTGTCCTATGATCGAAATGGTTGTCATGTTGTCCATATCCGAGACCACATGCATCACATGCACTGTACACTTAAAAATAACTATTTTTACCCGAGACGTAATTCATCTTTGACGTAAATTATGGAACTTAAACAAACATGTCATGTAAAGTTTAGTGTTCCCAAACCGAAACATACGCAACTCGACGAAAAGTACGATTGATTGAATTTATTGTCTCGTTTCTTTCAACTGATTCTTATGTGATTCAGGCCGCTTGCATGTGTCGGTCTCAGGGCACGGAAATTTACATGACTTTTTGGTACTGTGTGGTCGTACAAGTCTAGTGGATTTCTCCTAAAATACCTATCGTTGGTTGCAAACCATTTTGTAAAGTTCTGTAAACTTGACCGAAAACGCATAATTTCACGATAAAAATCGATACCTCGAAATTAAAATTCTACCATCTGCATTCTATGGACATCTTTCAAAATTTAGTTAGGGTGGAAGTGAAAAAAAAATTGATTTTATTTTAAAAACTATCTTTATGTCCTTTTACAAGTATGAGACGACGAATATTTTGATGAGCTTTTCATTATACATTAGTTTTAAAAATATTAAAAAGTTGCTTTTAATCGATTTTCCAACAGCTTTCCGTCATACACGGAGAACAAAAACTACCCAACGGTTGAGTTAAGTAAACTTACTTTTGAGTTGATGCCTCTCACTTGCTCTCTTGTTAACAACAACAAAAACGAAAAGAGCAAAGCAACCCAAAATTGAGTTCTATTCTCCCAACTCGACAGTTCCGTGCGCCAAGTTAAAATTGAGTATGTTGTGTAAAACTCAATTTTGAGTGAAAACAACTTAAAAGTAAGTAATCCTGTTTACATGCGAGTGAATGACAATAACTCAAAATTGAGTAGGGTAACTGATGATGGTTGGACCTATTTAGGCCGGTTTCACACGACGGCAACATTCATGTCGTATTTTTTTTATGAATTCAACATATAATTATGAAAAATGCGTGATTAGACCCCTCTTGCTTCTAATAATAACGTAAAAAGTTAAATATTATGAACAAATGATTTTATAAAACGTTTTTATTCAGCAAAAAATTATGATGTTGGTTGGACCTACACTGATCTTGGTTGGACCTAAAAAATGATGGTTGAACCTATTTTTGCAAATGCTAGTTTAGCCCATATTTGTTATAACATTCTTTTTTTTTAACTCTTTATTTGTTCCAAATTCAAAATAAATTACATTTTATTTAAACCTAGGTGCTCCAGTTACTGCAGTAACGTACCAGCCTCAATTGTTATGATATATATCTAAGTGTTTTTACATTGTTCATGTCTTGGCAATTCAGTATTTTAAACAGGTTTTTTAACCTGCATGTCAGTATAACAATTGATATCTTAAAACTAAAAACTAAAACTAAATCTTATCTAAGTATAAAGGGAATTAATCGTTGCAATTGAGGATTGCAACGATTTTTGCCTGAAATTATTAATTATTTTGTTGGACATTTATGCTAAAGTCTCAACATTCGAAATTCTATGTACTTCGGTTGTACTGTACCAGGGAGGCAACTTCAAAATCATTTTCAGAATTTTGTTCTGAATCCTTTGAAGTGCTTTTTTCCTGGTAGTGCAGCAACTAGACCATATTGGCACAGCGTAAAGCATGGCCGGTCTAAAAACTTGTTTAAATATTAGAAGTTTATTCGTCAGGCAAAGTTTGGATTTCCTGTTTATAAGAGGATACCAACATTTTATATATTTGTTACATTTGGCTTGGATGCCCTCAATGTGATCTTTAAAAGTTAATTTTTGGTCAAGTATTAATCCAAGATATTTCACTTGGTTTGACCAGGAAATTGGAACTCCGTTCATAGTGACTATGGTTTCAAAAACGAAGCTCTAGGCTTATGTGGAAATATTATAAGTTGAGTTTTGGAAGCGTTGGGAGAAATCTTCCATTTTTGTAAATAAGAAGAGAAAATATCTAAACTTTTCTGCAGTCTGCTGCAAATAACACGAAGACTTCTTCCTTTAGCGGAAATGCCTGTGTCATCAGCGAACAAAGATTTGTGGCAACCCTGAGGCAATTCAGGGAGGTCCGAAGTGAAAATGTTATACAATATAGACCCAAGAATGCTACCCTGAGGAACTCCTGCTCTAACAGGTAGTCGATTAGATTTGGAATTTTGATAATTTACTTTAAGAGTTCTGTCAGTTAAATAATTTTGAACTAATTTCATAATATAAAGTGGAAAATTAAACTTTTTCAATTTAGCAATCAAACCTTCATGCCAAACACTGTCGAATGCTTTTTCTATGTCTAGAAGAGCAACTCCAGTTGAGTGGCCTTCAGATTTGTTTGAACGAATTAAATTGTTAACTCTTAAGAGTTGATGAGTAGTTGAATGCCCATGGCGAAATCCAAACTGCTCATCTGCAAAAATTGAGTTCCTATTCGTATATCTATTCAAAATTATCTTTTCAAAAAGTTTACTTATTGAAGAGAGCAAACTTATTGGACGGTAGCTAGAAGCTTCAGCTGGATTTTTATCCGGCTTCAAAATTGGAACAACTTTTGCATTTTTCCATTTATCAGGAAAGTATGCCAAATGGAAACATCTGTTAAATAATTTTACCAAGAAAGACAAGGTACTCTCTGGGAGTTTTTTGATGAGGATATAGAAAATTCCATCATCACCTGGAGCTTTCATATTTTGAAAATTTTTAGTTATAGACCTTACTTCGTCCAAATCAGTCCCCCAGGAATCATCAAAAATATTTTCCCGAGAGAAAATATTCAGAAAATCCCGAACAACCTGATTCTCAATAGGACTAGTAAGACCCAAACTGAAATTATAGGAACTCTCGAATTGCTTAGCAAGTTTCTTAG